TCTTGTCCTTCCTTCCTCACCTACCTACGTCTTTTCCTTCCTTCCCTCTTTTCCTTCCTTCCTTCCCTTCCTTCCTTCCTCCTCCTCTCTTGTACTTCCTTCCTTTCCTTCCTTCCCTCTTTTCCTTCCTTCCCTCTTTTCCTTCCTTCCCTTCCTTCCTTCCTTCCTTCCTTCCATCCTTCTCTCCCTCCCTCCCTCCCTCCCTCCCTCTTTTCCTCCCTCTTTTCCTCCCTCCCTCCCTCCTCTCTTTACCTTCCTTCTTCTACTAGTCTGGGACCCTTGGACTACAACATCCATCACACCCACCCACCCCAACCTGGAGACACTGGTTTGATGGCCATTGTAATCCCTTCAGGGTTGACACCAACATTTTGGAGGCAGAAGGTGTCCTGATAATGGACTCCTTGGGAGAGAGAGTCTCTCCATTCCACCCATGGGGAGGGGGGGGCAGATGGGGGGTGGGATCAGCAGCGAGGAGGTGGGGTCTACCAGTGTGATTCCCCTGCACACCTTTGGCAGTTCAAATTCTCCTGCTTTGTTGATGCCCTGCAGCTTAAAATAGGGCAGGATGGAAGCTGATTTCTCTCCCAGCTGTATGGGGGATTAGCGCCCCTCCCCCCCAAAAAATATGCATGCTCTCCCCTCATCCTCCTCCCCTCCAGTCTATCTCACCCGTCTCTAATCCCTTTGCAGGACGTTGTCCCTCTAGCACCACCACCCCCATTCCCTCCTCCCTTTTCTTGCATTTGAATGCAGCCATTCCTTTTATTTTGCCTTGGGTTTAATCCTCCATCCAGGTTTGGCTAGCATCCCTATTTAAACATTTGCTTTGAAACATTTTCCTTGTCTTTCTTTCTTTCTTTTTTTTAATATCCTAGTATTGGAAAAAGGCATGATGGCCATTGGAGTCAGAAAAGGACATGCATCTCTTCCTTGTTGGTGGTTAGGTTGTAGGGTGGCGCACATTTTTGTGGGACCCGAATAGCCAAAACAATCTATACTTTACTAGACATGTATTCCGAAAGCCATTAATTAAAATTTGGGCTGGTATTAGAAGAAATCATTATACCAAAATTCCGAGGTGGTTTTCAACGATGGAGGCAATGTTCCACTTAAATATGATGGATATCAGAAAAAAACTGAAATACCATCAAATATTAGATAAAAAGGGAAGAATTAAAACCATACAGGAACTAGAAGCACAAGGGATAGTCATTGATAATTGGTCATATTTCCAAGTAAAATTGAGATATAATAAAGATGTAGAGGAATATGGAATTGAAGTAAAAGATATACATTTAGACAAAATGCTCTCAAGTCCTGAGAAAAAGTTGATTTCTAAACTATATAATTATTTATTACAACATGAAATGGCTGAGAGAATTGTGAAAGGACCTATGCTAGCTTGGGAAAAAAAACTTTGGTTATAGTATAGAGCTGGATGACTGGGAAGAAATCTGGCAAAAAAAATCTTGTATTAACTAAATCAGTAGCACATAAGGAGAATCTGTATAAAATGATGTACAGATGGCATCTGGCACCCTCTAAATTGGCCAAAATATTTCCGACAGCAAACCCATGCTGTTGGAAATGTAAAGGGAAATTTGGTACCTATTTTCATTTATGGTGGACTTCTCCTGAGATAAAGAAATATTGGTTAAAATAAAGGAGCTGATAGAAGAAATCATAGAGTGTGGACTGGGGTGGAAACTGGAACTGTTCCTGTTGGGAATGATTAAAGGGGATTATACCCCTAAAGTAAGATATCTGACCATCCACTTATTAACAGCAGCACGGATCCCATTAGCACAATATTGGAAGAATCCAAATGTACCACTGATACATGTTGCTATTCAAAAAATGTATGAGTGTGCCCAATTGGAGAGGCTCACACTCAAAATTAATGGGAAGGAGGACACATATTATTATAGGATATGGGATAAATGTTACAGCTGGGTAGATTATAAAGGAAAAACACATAAATGAACCCAAGAAACAAATTATATTCAGCTGCCTATACGAAATGTATAAGAATAACAAAGGTGTTAAATCCTTTTTTCTCCTATATTTTCTCCTATATTTTCTCACTATATCTATTTATTATTTAAAAATTTATGAATGTATTATTCATTAATAAATAGTTATAAACCAACGAGAAGATTAGTAGAGTATTGTGAGTTATTTAGTGATTAAAATGTGATAGTAAATGGAAATGTGAAAAGTATCAGTAATGACTATTAGGACGTATCAAATTCGATATCAAATGTAAAGAGGAATGTGTTATGTATACACTATTAGTTTTGTATTTTTAAAATTTGTATGTTTTTAATTCTTGTAAATAAAGTTTAAAAAAAAGACGAAAAGAAAAAGGCAAAGGGCTGGAGGCAGAAAAGGGCATGCATCTCTTCCTTGTTGGTGGTTAGGTTGTTTTGCAATCTGGACCTCCCCAAACTGTATTGTATAAAGAAAGATGATGAACCATCCAATCACCTTCCTGGTTTGGCTACCCTTGCAACTTTTAATGCCACGTTGGCATACCTGGGAGCTGCTGTGACAATTTTGTCCAGTCCCTCTCAGATGAAAAGAGGAAGGTGGTCCTTCTGATATCCCAGCTCTAAAAGTGTTGGGTTAGCTTGGAATTGATGAGAACGTTGGCCATTAGGACAAGTGAGAACAATCAACCAATGGAACAGCTTTCCTGCGGAAGTTGTGGGAACTTCATCACTGGAAGCACAGCTAGTCTAGCGAAGAGAAGGACCAGGGGAGACATGATGGCAATGTTCTAATATTTGAGGGGCTGCCCCAGAGAGGAGGAAGGGGTCAAGCTATTTTCCAAGACACCCAAAGGCCAGATAGGGAATAATGGGTGGAAACAAGGAGAGATCCAACCTAGAACTAAAGATAAATTTTCTGACAGAGCAATCCACTGATGGTACAGAAGTTGCTTTTGGAAGTTGTGGGAGCTTCATCACTGGAGGCTTTCAAGAAGAGACTGGACTCCCATAGGTCAGAAATGGTGTAGGGTCTCCTGCTTGGGCGGAGGGTTGGGCTAATCCAACTCTGTTAATCTGTTAAATTAAACCAGTGTGGAATTTTTTTTGCAAAGGACAATATAAGAAATTACTGTCCTTTCTGGCTGTTTCCTTTCCTGCCAACCAGTCTAGAGCCTCTCCTCCAGCCATGCCCACTGTGGACTTTAACTCCCAGAATTCCCCAGCCATTCCCCAACTGGCTGGGGAATCCTGGGAGTTGAAGTCTACAAGCCTTAAAAGTTGCCAAGGTTGGACACCCCTGGCTTAAATGATAGTGCTTTCTCCTTCCATCTTCAAAATGAGCAAGTGGAAGGAAGATGGTGAACATAACCTTTCCACAAGGCCTCGTTGCTGTTATATATCAGTTCTGATTCCTGTCATGCAAACCTTTTTAAAATAGAAGCAATTGGGGTACTTTATTGGTGATTGATGGGGTGTGAATCACTTCTCAGAACAAGATGTGATGTAGTACAATAAATTGGAGCATATGCAATTATCCAGAAGAACAGATAAGCCTCTTCTGAAATCAAGAACTGTTTGTCTTATTTAGTCTCCCCTTTCCATACTCTTTGGAATCTAGATTAAAGCTATTTAAACAATTAAAGCTATTTCTCGCGCAAAAAAAGAGAGGGACTTGACTGCAATCTACAGACAAAGAAAATGTATGTTAGTATAGCTAGTGTCCAGTAAGCAGGTGCCTTTCCCTTGCTAAGACATAAGATGTTATTTGCAATTTATTTATCTATTAAAACTTCGATGTGCTACATTCACCTAAACAAGGATTTAAACCAACTATGGTTCCAATGTTCACATGTCAGCTTTGGAAGCCATATTCCACACTGCCACATAGCCTGAGAGAGTGGAAGGAGTGTGTGATTTCAATTAAGTAGCTCTAGTAGACAAAATAAAATTATTTTGTTAGTCCAAGGTCATTTAGTATGGCGCAGGAGAAAATAAAGATCTTACTTTTGGACGGATCATGATTGGCCTATGTGATGTGATGACAGCCAAGGGGGGATGGATTTCTGGTTTGAAAAACTGTGGAAAGCTGGAAAAAAAATTAGATTCGGGTTTCCACAGATGTGCCAGGTGCTATGCTGGAACGCTGACACCATACTTGCATGACTATACATACATAGAAACTCCCTTTTTACATCCTTATCGACCCTATTTGGAGTAGAGTTGGGGTGACTGGATGGAGCTGAGCATTTCCTGGCCAGATGCCCTTCCTGACACCACAGGGAGTTCACAGTATATATTTGTTTCTTTGTGTACTAGGAGATAAACATCTACCGTTAGCTAAGATTGAACTCTCAACCTTCTGAATGGGAGGCGAGCGTCTTCACCATTAGGCCACCCTGCTAGCCATGATCACACATACATAATTTCTCCCAAATTGAGATGGGGGCCCACCTGCTGTGGTGAGTGGAGTTGGCCATCCGCAACCTTGGAGAGCACCTGAAGAGCAGAACATTCATCTCTGTTTCCTTTGCCTTCTCAACAGAGGAGCCGCTATGGCAGAGAAGACCCTTGACCCCACCTGTGTCTCCATTGCCCTGGAGGACTCGGTCTGCAACGCTAGCTCACAGGATGGCTCCTTCCTGACCACCCACCTGAAGAAGGTGGAGAACCACATCACGGATGCTCAGAGGTTCTCCCATTTGCCCAAGCGGTCAGCTGTGGACCTTGAGTTCACTGACCTGTCGTATTCGGTCCGGGAAGGCTCCTGGTGGCGGAAAAGAGGTAGGATGGCAGTCCCTTGGAGGCGGTTGTTGATCCTGGCAAGGGCCAATCGAGGTTGAAGGACATTTTTTTCCCCGTGGGCTTTGATGTCTGTAGGCATCTCTGCATGGGTTACAGGAAGCAGAGTGATAGTTCTCGACTTATGACCATAATTGAACCCATAATTCCAGCCGTAAGTTGTGACCATCATAAAGTGGGTCATCATGGAACCGCACTTGATTTTGCAACCTTCTTGAGGTGGCCATTAAGTGAGGCCAATGTTCACCATGGGATGGTTTTTGCCAGAACCTGGAAGCATATGCCAATTTCCAGCAAAAACATCGTGAATCCTGTTCACAGGACCTCAGGGTCACTGCAAACAGCCACAAATTCAGACTGGTTGTGTAATGGTGTAGAGAAATGGTGTAGGGTCTCCTGCATGGGCAGGGGATTGCACTAGATGACCTACAAGGTCCCTTCCAACTCTGATTATCTGTTATCTGGTTGCCATGCACCCAAAAGGGCGGTCATATGGCCATAGGGTAGGGGGTAGTCAGCAGGACATTGGAAGTTTGAAACTGAATTGTAAGTCCCATGTTGAGAATCCGTTGTAACTTCAAATGGTTGCTAAGTGACCAGTCCTAAGTTGAAGACTACTTATATCCCTGCCGGGACAGCCTTGCTTCTTTGAAGTGGCCTTTTTGAAGTTCTGCTCCAGCATCCTTAAGCGAGTTCTGATTTTGGTCCACCTAGGCATCTAACCCAGTTAAGGCTGATCATCCCCAATGTGGAAACTTCCTGGCATCCCAAGACTGCAACTTCTAGTATCCCGAAGGCCAGGGACTTGGAGGAGGTTTCCATCCATGGAAAGGCTGGTGGAACCCAGAGAGATGACCACAGGCCAAGATATCTGGAATCCCTTTGTTTATTTCATTTATTTCATTTATTTTGTCAAGCAGGCATTTGATAATATATATAAGTATAAACATGATTATTAATACATGAAATAGATACGAATAAAAGGGAACATTAAGACAGGAATGGTAGGCACTTTGGTGTGCTTATACATACCCCTTAAAGTCCTCTTAGGAATGGGGGTGAGGTCAACAGTAGACAGTCTGAGGTTAAAGTTTTTGGGGTTTGGGGAAGAAACCACAAAGTCACGTATTTCCTGCAATTGAGTTTTGTGTGGTTTACCCTGAGTTTGTATCTATTGTGTGTGTGTGTGTGTGTGTGTGTGTGTGTGTGATGAACTCTCTACTGCTTGTCATGGAGGCCATACACTCCTGATCCTTGACCTTCCTAAGCCCCCTTCTAAAGCCCCGAGATTAAAGCCCCATCCCTCGAGGAAATTAGTGAAGGTAGGTAAGATGCTTCCGGACCCTCAGATGGACAATCACTCATAGAATTCCCACCTTCTCCTTGCAACTCAACCTCCATCCAACATTCCTCCCAGCAGGGACACTGGAAGCAACAGAGTTGTCATGGAACATGATCACCACACCTTCTTGTTGTCTGTAGCATCACTGCTGCTGCAATTCCTGAATTCATGTAAGATCTCGGCACAGGAACCAGTAGCAAAAATGGCTACCGATAACCAGCTGAGAGGATAAAGAAGAGGAGAGTGCAGGATCTGCCCTCCCACCCACCCGTGCGCTTCTCTCTCCTTTATACTCTCAGCTGATAGGCCTCAGCTGGTGTGTGGAAAGCTGCGTGTGCGCACACACAGGCGTGATCACCGAACCGATAGTGGAACACATAGGATCCCACCAGGGACGGGATTCAATTTTTTTTAACAACTGGTTCTGTGGGCGTGGCTTAGTTGGTGGGCGTGGCTTGGTGGTCCTGTGACTGGCTGGGTGTGCCCAACTCAACATCACTCACATCGAGGCACGCATCTCTTCGCCTGGCCTCTCATGACTGTGGGGATGCTGCAGCAGTCGTAAGTGTGAAAAACAGTCATAAGCCACTTTTTTCAGTGCCACTGTAACTTTGAATGGTCCCTCCACACAAGCAAAGTATCAGCAAAGGAGGGGGGAAAAACTCCAGGGATGTTCCTGAGACAGGAAGTCTAGTCCTGCCAAGAATGTAATAAGGGTTAACGGAGAGGCAGTTTCTGTAAGCAACACCAGAATGTTTCCTTCCTGCCTTCCTTACAGGATTAGGCCAGTAATTTCTTCTAATAACCGGTTCTCCGAACTGCTTAGAATGTTAACAACCGGTTCTAGCGAATAGGTGCGAACCGGTAGAATCCCATCCCTGGATCTCACTGCTGTCCAGGACTCCTGTCCTATTTCCCTTACTGGACATAGCTGCAATCTCTCTCACATCCTCATAACCCCTGAGGCTGACCTGGCACTACATCCACTCACTAACCCTTGAGGGGCAGCTGCAGGGCCCATGCTCCACAGCCGGCTTTCCTTGCACTCACCGAACCCAAGATCCACCCATAGCAATCGAAACCACCAAATCTCCCTTCTGTTTTCCCTATTGCCAGCCCACGCAGGCTCTCCCTCCAGGACCAAGCCTCTCCCAATGTGCTCTAGACTGCTTTTTCCCTACAGGGAGGATCCAGGGGAATTCCCAAGGAAGGTGATATCAATTTTGCACCTTTGCTTCCCAAAGTGTCCCGCCTAATTATGAGCAATAGAGAACAGACCTGGTAGTTGATAACAGAGCTATGCGATTAGACCAGATTAGGAAATCAACCCGCCGGAAAGGCGAAAAGCACGGTTGTTGAGATTGGCTGTAACAATAGAATTGTGTAAGTCTATGCCTGGGTCCCCTTACATCAGCGGTGAAATGCTACCAGTTTGACCGAACTGCTAGATAAAAAAGCTCCGACGAAGAGAAAAATGCAGGCTCAGCCCTCCCACCATCCCCTGTGCTTTTCTGTCCTTTATCCTCTCCACTGATTGGCATGACAGAGCCTCAGCTGGTGTTTGGAAAGCGGCACATGTGTGCGTGTTAGTGCGCGATCACTGAAGCGGTAGGGAAACTGGTGTAATCCCACCACCGCCTTACATGCCAGTCATTCAGGAGGCTTCCTGTCTGGACTACCTTACAAGGCTGACAGATGTTGGTATTATTATTATCCTGGAGTTCAGCAATCTTGAACCCCTAAAAACTGGGGGATCCAATTGGGTCCAGATTGACTCCTGCAACATTATCCTGGGACACATCTATTTGCTTTCGTTCGTCACAAAATCTGGGCTTAGAGAAGATGAGATGTTTTGTCAGAAAAGCGATGAAGAGCTGGGATGGGACTCACTGAATTAAGTCACTTAAAAAGTTGGTCCCAAAGAAAGCTGGGGATCTTGAGATCCCAGGGCTGGGCAGGAGGACAACAGTGGCCTGAATTGCTTTTCATTCCGTTTAGGATTTGAAATGCTTTTCAAAAGACGCGGAGCCCAAACGTCTTTGCAGGAATTCAGCTTGAAACTTGCTGCATGCGGGATACGTGTGCTTCTAAGCCAGGATCTCATTCCTGGTTTGATTGAACATGGGTTCCACTGGCCTCCAAGCCAATACTAGCAGCTGTGTGATTGAAGATTGATCGATTGATTGATTTCAATGGCTGATACGGTTGCCCAACTCAGAACAGTGACTGGGTGGTGTACAAGATGAAAACAATCAATCATCTCAACCACAAACACCTGAGGTCAAAACATCAAAACCAACACCTAAAAACACGAAGGCTAGAACTCGACTAATCTCCTGGCTCAAACATCTGGAGGCACAATCAACTCTTGTGAGAGATGAACAGATCATCCTGACTTCTGCAAGGCAGGGCTGGATCAGAAAGGCACAACTTCTGGGGCCCGTCAAGAAGGCACTCTTGGAAGGGAGAACGCTGGAGCATGTTAGATCTAGTTGGACAAGCAAGGGGAGACAGGCATTCCCCAAATCCTTTGGCTGTTTCCAACACAGATCCCAGACCTGGATCTAATTCAGATGTCAGGATCCCCCCTGGATCGATCACCAGGACCAGAGGTTTAGATATGCAAATGTTGGGCTTTGTGCTGGACTTCTCTCCCACCAGAACGTGTGCACCGGACTGAAATATTTATGTGGTGCCTGGTGGTGTGTGGCTTTTAGGTGTTAATTGGCATGTTGATGGCCACGATTAAGTCATACAACATTATCTTGGGACACGTGTTCAGATTCTTTGTCCAAACCCACGCAGCTTCTCAGGGTATGGATCAAAGGGGGATCTTCCCCAGATGTCTGGACCATTTTTGTGGGCAGAACAAGAGGTTCTTCTCTGGCCCTGTTGTCAGGCCCCTATACCTGAATCCAGGAACTGAAATTCTGGATCGAGAGGCATGGAAAGTTCTTCCAAAGTCAGCTTGGCGCATGCAAAAGACTTACCCTTTGCCCCGTTCCCTGGGAAGAACTCAAGCCCACCACACTTCAGATTCTGAAGAGCAGCAGATGCTGAGAAGAAGATAAATCTAGCTGGCTTCCACCCCCACCCCCTCTCCTCTCTCTCTGAGCTCCCTGGGGATCCCTTTCCTGCGTGGGTGAGCAGCAGAATGGTTCCTCGTATATGAATCGGTGGGCAGAATGCAAGGGAGATGCGGGAAGCGGCTGCTTTAATTAGTCTCTTTTCAAAGGTGCCAGTTATAAAAGGAAGTAGAAATAAAAAGTAGAAATAAAAGCCCAGAAATAAAAGGAAGAATTGGGACTTCCGGGGGCTTAAGAACTGTTTTGTGAACAATGTGCAAAAGGGGAGCAAAAGAGATCCATTTAGAGATGGAGATCAGCCTTTACTTCGATTAATGACAGTTATAGTTGTCCCGGTGATCGTGTGATCACATTTTCAGAACTTCTGACAAGTCAAGTCACCCAGAAAGCCAGATATCCCTTCACAACCGGGTTACTGACTTCCCAGTTGCAGTGGTTCAGTTAAAAAACCGTGACTGGAAAGCTTGCAAAGTGGAACAAAAGCCACTGAACAGGCGTCTCACTTAAGAATAGACATGTTGGGCTCCGTTGTCGTCGTACGTTGAGGACTATCT